ATTTATATTTATCAAGTTTTGTTGAATTACTACACTACCCCTCATTCATTTATACCCACACTTTAAGCCACCAGGGCTTTATTGTATTTTCCTACTCATTTATTCAAAACATCACAATGTATATGCTATATTATTTCTCGTGTTAAATTAATTTTTTTAAAATAAAAAAAAATATTTAGATTTTACAAATATAATTTTTAGTTAAAAATTTTAAATTATATAAAATTTAATATAATACGACCTGGATAATATAAACAAGTTTAAAGATGACTCGGACACTGTTAAAAAATACAATTTCACTAAAACAAATTAAGAAGACATTTTAAAAAATATATGTTAAAATAAAAACATATTAAATTAACTTAGGTCAACTCAGATTAATTTGTTAAATCAGCAATATGATTCATGAGACTGAGATAACCTCAATGAAAACAAATCAAAATAAATTATGAAATCTAATTTCTAATCAAACCGATATTAAAGGATGAAATTAAAAAAAATTAATTAAACACAAATTAAAAAATAAACAACTCGAGTTAACCCAAATTAACCTATCAAAGTCGCAACTCAGGTCAAGTAACTAGAATAATCTCATAGAAAACAAATCAAAATAAATTATAAAATTTAATTTTTATTTAATCAAATATGAAAAGATGACATAGAAAAAAATATTAATTAAAAAAGATAAAAAAATTCCGAGTTAACCTGCTAAAACTATGATCCAAAAATGAGACAGAGATAACCTCATAAAAAATAAACAAAAAAATTATAAAGCTTAATTTTAAATTAATCAAATATTGAAAGATGATATTGAAAAAATAATCAACTAAAAAAAAATAACCTGATTTAACTTGTGATCTAGATCATGAAACCGGATAGACATTGAGAGATGATTTTTTTAAAAAAAATTATTCAATCTAAATTAATTTATTAAACTCATGATCTAAGTAATGAAATTAATAACCTTATAGTAAGTAAAAATAAAAAAAATATATAAAAATTAATTTTAAATGAATCAAATATTAAAAAATAAAATAAAAAATCAATTAAAAAATAACATAAAATACTTGAATTAACTCTCTAAATTCAAGATTTGGGTCATAAAATTAAAATATACAAACTTAATATTAAAAAATAAAATTAAAAAAATATCTTAAAAAAAATATATCTAACAAGAAAGAAAACTTCTTAATAGTGGATTTCTCTCCCCAAGTTTGTGTTAATAACAAGCTGAAATCGTTTGGACATAAATTCAATAGAGGGTTTGATGTTGTTGAGCTTGAGGCTTGAGAAAGACAATGGGAGGAATAAGAGATGAAAAGGTCTTGGACGTGCTAGCATTTGCATAAGCATCAGCTTCAAAAAACACTTCTAGTGATTGGTTGGAACATTCTCTTCTCCATTTAAGCTGAACCGAACGAGGTAGGGTCACCACTTCTATTTTTATATTTAGTTCATATGAAAAGCAAGTAATCAACATCAAGCTCTAAATTCATGAGGGGGGAATACTATATCCTCCACCAGTTATTTATTTAATTCATATAAGAAAATTCTTGCATGCAAAAGACACTTAAAAACTGACAAATCCTTTCTCCTTCAAGCTTTCAACTGTTTCCTTAACGCTTGCTTCCAAAGGAATGAATTCAATACCCAAGCTTTTTGCTTTTTCCTTGGAAACTTGATAGATTGGTACATATGGCTTATCATCGGCACACCTGCCAAGGGATTTCACAATAAAAAAGAATTGAAGGTTTTTTGATAAAACAAATTGCAGATGATAACAGAAAATTCTCATAGACGAAACAATCTAAGCTGTTCAATAAAGCATCTTCAATCACTCAAAGTTCGTGAAAAAAAGTGGCCTAGAATCAAAACAAATGATCGTTGGTACTCCCTAATGACAAAAACAAATTAACTAGAAGCAGCTACAGCATGATGAAATTATCAAAAGAAACTGATGATTATACCATTTGACTTTCAACGTGTTTATTTAAACTCCAAGATGAAACACCTTCCAAAAGAGAGACATGATTAGAATCCTTTGATTGTCGTCAATTCTTTCATTTTTGTTTGCTTCACCCACCTTCATATCCCACAACACGTGATATGGGAACCACTATTATCCTGGCATGGTGTTGTAATCTGGTTTTTAATGCATATTTTGCAATAGAATGGATGGGCACGCTGCCACCTTGCTAAATCTTTTTGCTTACCAAATACGTGTATGATGCCATGAAAACCACACAAAATAAGGTGACAAGAAGGTACACGTTGTCAACATGCTAAGGTAAAATCAGGAGAGGAAAGAACACGAGTAAGGTGACTAAGAGCATAAATCATCAAGACAAAACAACTAATAGAAAAGGCAAATTATAGGGGGAAGTACATGCTTTTCTGGGAGTTGGAGATCAGGGTAAAGCTCGTGCAGAATCTTCACTAATTCTGAGTAGTGTGCCACTCTCTCAACCAAACAATATCTCCCACTAGCTGATGACAGCTCAAATGCTTGTATGTGTGCATTGGCAACATCTTTAACATTTATCCATCCAAAAGATGCATTGGGGAAAGTTTGTGCTCCTGCAATCAACAGAGAGCCAAGAAAATCGCTACAAGCTTTATGGAAAAGAAAATGGACTACCTTAATAGAGTAACAACTACAAATATTCGGGTT